TCCTGTTTCTTTGCCAGTCTCAACATTTTCTATAGAAACCTGGGTAATTTAGGTAGTATATTGTAGCAACTCTGGATACTGTTCTCCCCTTTCCCTAAGCCTTGTTTCATTTTTGCCTGTTTGTTTATCTGTTGAGTATCTTGGCTGGTCTCTTTCAGTGATGTGCGTTCCCTGGAGGGTGAAGCTCTGACGGTCACTGCTCAGAGGCTGCAGGCTTGGGGATGGACACAGTCACCCTGGGATGGCAGTGGTTCTAGCAGGGCTCTTGGTGACCATCTTTTAGCTTGATTTCTCTGTTAAGCTGTCTGCCTTGTGTGGTATCCACACCAACTTTTAGGCTCCAGTAATCTCTAGTTGAGCAAACTATGCTTTAATCAGTGCTTTGTGTTATAAATCTTTCCTCAGTCGGATCCAGTTAAATTCTGGCCCCTTTGCAGAGGTAGATTTTTAGGCCGATTGTTAAGCCCAGGAGGGCTCTTAGGTGTGTCTTTCCCTGGTTCTCTGTACTAAACTGGCCAGCCTGTGCTCAAGCTTGTTGTTCCCAGAGAGCTACCAGGCTCCTTTCTGTTGCTTACCACTTCAAATCTCCATTCATTATGCTTGAGATCACCTTTATGCTTGAACTTCCCCACGTTGTCTTTCAAACTTGGTTTATACCTCTGTGGGAGCTTTGGAGCTCTGTGTTTTTAGTGACTGCCTCTGTCCCCAGGGGAAAAATCTCTGAGTCACTGCTGTGGAACTGGAGGAGGGAGTGACATTCTTGCTTACAAGCAGGGGGCAGGCAGGAGCAGTACCCCTGGTCTTCTCGCCTGGCCTCTCTGGACATGGAATCCACTCCTTGACTGAGCTTGGGCAAGGGTGACCATGGTCCCATTATTCATGCGTTCACCGCCTGCCCTGCCTGGGGTAGGTAGAGCTTCTGCCCTGTGAGTGGGAGCTGGAGGAGGAAGGTCTTAACCACTTGGCTCACACCTTAGGAATTTAGCCTGTGCAGCTCACAGCTGGAGGGAATCAGAAAGGCCTGAGCCCTGCCCTTCCAGGTGAGATACCATGATCCTTTGACTGCCAGCTCCGTTGTTTTGGCCACACCTAACACTCACCCACTCTGAACTCTGGGCTTGTAGGGTGGAAGGAGGGAGTGGTCCATGGCTCAAGTGTCACAGATTCTCACTGTTCTTAGTGAATTTTTGTAGATTTTCTTGAATAAGCGTTTCTTCATCTGCTGTATGTATACCCTTAGGACAATTTCCAAAGACTTTTAACTGGTTAGGTTTTTGAATTGATCCTCCCCAGTTAGGGTTTTGCTGAGTGACAGGTCTGTGGAGCACCTCACAGTGCCATTCTGTAGGAAATGCTTTATCTGTGACCTTGAGATATAAGTGGTTGGTGCACAAGCTTTTCTGTTCTTTTACCTGTTGTTTAGGCTGTAGGACTACTTGTCCCAAACAGCCAAGTAATACTCCTAAATCATTGTTAAACTACTTATACCACATAATCGCCTTTCTCTTCTGGAAGTTATAGAAGACCTCGTGCCTTTTTAGATGGTTTACATAAATCTCACCCTGAGCAGACTCTAAAGTCTATTATACTTGTACACCCATCTTTTTGGGTTATTTCTATCGTATCAAAAACGTGTAGGCATTTAAGCATGACTTGAGAAATACATCCATGTCTTCAGCAGCAGAGAAGAGTTAATTTTTCTGATCTCTCTGCTACCACATGTCAGAGCGATCAGAATGTTTATTACCATACACTAGTATATGAACCCTGCACAGCCTTGCAAGGGTTATTATTATTTCCACGTGAGATGATCTCCCTGCTGATGCCGAGAGCCACTTTACATGTAGCCACAATAAATGGACTGAGTGTTCTTCACTCATCTGCTGGCTCATAGGTTAAGCCACATTTCAGAGTCATCTGGTGCCATGTTGTTGCTAAAACCCAAAGCCTTTTCAGTGATGGTTGAAGCCTTAGCACAGAGAAGAGGTTTGTTCAGAAAGGCATTCTTCTTGCTGACTTACTGAGCAGCATGAGTTTGAATGCCTCCCTTGAACAGGACCACTTTTCACTGCCTGTGAGCTCCCACCAGAGCAGAAGTACAAGCAGTGGAGATGAGCTAACTGCAGAGCCCTGCAAAGCTGCGTGGAGCACAGTCAATTTCAGCATAAGAGGTCTCCTGTCCTTTCTTCCTACTGTCTTCTTCGATGTTACCTCCTAGTTATTGGGAGGGTAGGCCCGGGTTTGGTAGTTAGTTTTCCTGAGGAAGCTTGTAAGTGATGGGCCTCTGCCAGTCTTGTTTCTGTTTGAAATGCTTGCCTAATGGACTGAAATTGATTAGGGAGAGCCAGCTATGTTACATAAATCTTTAAGTATTTTCTATAGAAAGGAATTCTTCAAGAAAAAACAGTTCAAATGCATTTTAAGGAGGGCTAAGGTGCTTCCAGCAATTTTATGTCACCACTAAAACTAGTAAAATGTTGGAGGCAATTGTGTATAATTTAGTACAGCACATTTCTGCTTAGCTGAGTCGTCGCTAGGTCATTTTAGGTGCGGAGGTAAAGTTAGCATGGTACAGAACGTCTTAGTTTAAGAAACATTTGTGTATGGATATAGAGTTACATTAAAAGAGGTTAAATTTCTTTTTAAAAAGATGTAATTTTTCTGATTTATGAACTTAAGTGGGAAGCTTGGGAAAATGCAATGAAATGAAGGCAAAATAAAATGGATTTTCATCCCCTGAGTTAAGCACATATAGTGAGTGAGATTTGGAATTTAGTTATCTTTCCCCAAAATTCTCTTTTCAAATCATTGTTCAGGTATACAGGTGAAATACAGGGGAGCTGAAGATAAAACATGAACCAGACAAATCTACAGGTAGTGGAGAGAATATGAAATTAGGAAGGCTGGGCTTATTCTGTCATTACTGATGACCTGGGGACCTTGGTCAGAAATTCAGTTCCTCTGGGTGTTTGTTTCTTACCTCAGAAGCAGAAAGGATTTAGGAAGTGGTGCTCTCCATTAAGAATGAATGCAGCTGTGGGGCGGCTGGGTGGCTCAGTCAGTGAAATGTCCAACTTCGGCTCAGGTCAAGATCTTGCAGTCCATGGGTTTGAGTCCCACATTGGGCTCTGTGCTGACAGCTCAGAGCCTGGAGCCTGTTTCGGATTCTGTGTCTCCCTCTCTCTCTGCCCCTCCCCTGCTTGTGCTCTGTCTCTCTGTCTCTCTCTCTCAAAAGTAAATAAACATAATTTTTTTTTTTTTTTAATTAATGCAACTGATTGAAAGCTATTCAGCATCAGGATTTTTCAACCATCCACATTCTCAACCATCATACAGCTGACCCTTGAGCAACTCAGGGCCGAGAGGGGCCGACCATCCACCCCCGACACCCCCACAGGCTGTCGAAAATCCACGTGACTTTTGACTCCTTTTGCTTGCTGTTGACTGGACGCCTTTCCATAACATAAACAGTCGATTAACACTTATCCTGCGTGTTATGTGTATTATGTATTTTGTTCTTAAACTAGGGAAAACAGAATGTTATTAAGAACATCATAAGGAAAATACACTCATAGTACTGTACTGTATTTATCAAACAAATCTGTGTACAAGTGGACCCGTGCACTTCACACCCTAGTTGTTCAAGGGTCAGCTGTGTCTGTGATTTTCGTCAGAGCAAGTGTAAATGTCTGGTTGGTGCTGGTGGCTGGCATTTCTCCCCTGCACCGTCTCCCAAATCTACCTTCTTCACCCCAGGCAGCTTTGCCCTCACCCGTGGTCAACATTGGAATTACGTGTCTGATCACAGAGGGCTTTGTTGCAAACTAAATGGTTTAAAACCATAGGCCTGGGGGCTTTTGTGCTTTTTTCAGTGAGAGAATTGGTGGGTTTTTTCCTTCTGTTAATTCTTTCAGTTGGGAACAGAGAAGGCAGGGCGGAGAACAGAACAGGGCAGAGAAGATAGTTTGACTTCACGAGTCTGCTTTCTGAGCTTGTTCTTTCTACTCTTTCCTCAAAATACAGTACATGCTCTATCTGGCTCATCCACTTACACCATTGAATTTGAATAAAGTATCTATGACCTCAAGCTGTGTTTTTCAATCGCAATTGCCTCTTCCGGTTTTGGCAGGATGGCATTGCTGGCCCCCTGCCCCCCACAGCTGCATCGTGTCCCTGTAGGCCCGTTGGTGGACCCCACGCAGTGTTTGTGCTCCCGCTCAGACATTGACCAAACAGTGGACCTCAATCACTTAGGGTTTAGGTCTGAAGACAGTAGCTATTGCTTATTCATTTGTTCTCATAAGCAGTTGGGAAGATCATAGTTTTTTTTTAATGAGTTTTTTGTCTCCAGTTTAAAAGCCACAGAGGTGCCTGGGTGGCTCAGTCAGTTAAGCATCTGATAACTCTTGATTTTAGCTCAGGTCATGATCTCATGGTTCGTGAAATCAAGCCCCGTGTTGGGCTCTGTGCTGACAGTGCAGACCCTGCTTGGGATTCTCTCTCTCCCTCCCTCTCTCTGTGCCCCTCTCCTCACTCTCTCTCTCAAAATAAATAAACATTTAAAAAAAAAAAAAACATATCATTTGGTAGCTCACCAAATCTCTGCATGTTCTAATCACTTTTAAAACATTCTGAAACTCTGCAGGAGTGTTAGAATTACACAAGTGATGTTCAGTGTCCCATCAGCATAAAATAAGAACCTTTTAATGTGAAATTCTCTGTCAGAGGGGACATTTGGAAACTTGTAGCTGCTTTTCTGTACTGGTATTTACTGGGTGGTAGCTTAAGTTTTTAGGCTGCTTAGAAATCGACAGTAGTATGACGACTTGTTCTGGAGGAAGAGAGAGGACGCTGCCCTGAAACCATTAGTGTCCTCCTTCCTTGCTCTCCTCCCAAGTTTTAAGTTGTGGCTGCACCAAAGGCATATCCCCTTGAAGCTGGTTGTCACCGTGTCCTCTTGTGCTTTCTCTGGGGACCTTGGGCACCCCGTCCTGGTGCAGATAACCGGAGGAGCGGGGTTCGTGGGCTCCCACCTCACGGACAAGCTCATGATGGATGGCCACGAGGTGACTGTGGTGGACAACTTCTTCACTGGCAGGAAGAGGAATGTGGAGCACTGGATCGGCCACGAGAACTTCGAGCTGATTAACCACGACGTGGTGGAGCCACTCTACATCGAAGGTGAGCGAAAGCGCACGTCGACAGCGCGGTGAGTGTGGTGGGGCTGCTCCCCAGAGCAGCCAACCGGCCTGGCCACAGTGAGTTTGGGCTCTGCCTTCTTTCTGAAGTAGTCTCACCAGGTACAAGGCACTATCCTAGTTTCCGCGATGAGAGAACAGTTACGGCAGCGTGGATATTTGACTTCGCTGTTCCGAGCACCCCTGGCTTTGGGTATAGCGGCCCTTTCAAGGAGGGCTTGTGTAGTGCACAGTCCTCCCCACTGCATGGCAGGTCCGGTGGCTGTCACTCGTGTGACAGTACTTGTAGCTTAATGCGGGGCGCCGCCTGGTGTGGAATGTGGCACTAGTAGTGAAATTCCACATCTGACTTTGCCACTCCACAAACTTTGCGGGGCAGTGGGCCGGATGGATCCCCCCAAACATATGGCTTAACCCCTGGAACCTGTGAGTGTGGTCTTATGTCGGGGAAAGATGTTTGGTGACATAATCAAGTTAAGGATCTCAGTCAAGATGAGCTCAGCCTGGATTACCCGGGTGGGCCATATGGAAATATACGTGTGGAAGTGCCATTGGAAAATGGCAAGTGCCTTTATAGGAGACAGAATGGACAAGACACAGTCGCATGGGGAGAAGAGCAGGTCCATGAAGACCAAGGCAGAGATTGGAGCCATGCAGCCCCAGGCTGAGGACCACCTCAAAGGCAAGGAGGGATTCTCTCCTAGAACCTTTGGGGGAAGTGTGGCCTTGCCAACACCTTGTTTTCTAGATCTGTGGGAAAAGAAATTTCTGGTGTTTCGGTTCACCTGGTGCATGGTACTTCAGTTACAACAACGGCCACAGGAGGCTGATATGGGGGGCCTCCGGTAGACATTTCTCGAGATTGTCTGAGGTGTACTGAAGAGAACCTCCAGCAGGTGCTTGGCTAGCAGGCCTCCTAGGATCAGCAGACCTGCTGTTAATTCTCATTTAAATCTGACCGGAGCCCTGAGAGGTAAATGGTGTCATCCCGTTTTGATTATTTATGGAAAACCAGAACCGGGTCGTGGCCTGCCCAAAGCCATAGGGCTATTAGTGGTAGAGCCAGAATTCAGCCTTGGGCTTCAGGCTCCAAAGCTCATTCGTCACCCGCCCCTCCTCCTCCTCCTGCAGGTAGTGTAGTGTTCTACTTTTCAGTATTACCATGTCGGGGACATTTTCCCGTGTCTGCATAATGCAAAGTATCTTGGAGAGCCAGTGTAATTGCTGTGCAGTATCATTGTATGCGGACACCGTGCTTTATTCACTCCTGCCCTTAAAGTTCTCCAGGATTTCCTTATAACTGTCTTTGTCTGAACTGTATTTCCTTAATCAAGTGTTCAAATATGAATTACGCCAAATGCTGATCCGTTTCCTTCATTGTTTGTTGGGGTCTGTGTCACTAACGCATGAGTGACGTTCAGCATTAGCTTCCAAAACTGCTAACAAGATGGTTTGCTAATTTGGTAGAAAACCCACGACTTCCTGGTGACAGAAGAAAAAAAAGTTAGATTTTCTAACATGTTAATTCAGAAAAGAAATCTAAACAGTTTATTTTGCTTTTTTAAAAAATGTTTGTTTATTATGTGAGTTCATAATAGGGATGTTAATCATCTGGTATATACTTAACACCTGCCCTTCTTCCCAAATCTGGCTTTTGCCTTTAATTTTTGTAATTCTAGGCTCATCTGTTTATTTTCCTCTTTGCTATTCTATTTATTTTATGCTTATAAGAGTCCCAAGAATAGAGAAATATTTAGCCATGGCGTTTTTGGTTTGTGTGATATTTTTGTTTCTTTTTAAGCATTTAATTATTTAATCTATCTGGGATTATTTAGGGGTTAGGCTATAATTTGTAAAGCGAACCAGATGATTTAGGTAACAGATAAATTGGCTGACTTTCCCCCTGGACTTGATCATGGGTGTGCTCTGAGGGTTAACTGAGGTCATGCATGTGATAGGCAGAATTGCCAAGTGCAGGAGTCAACACGCTGCAGTGAAAGGCCCTGCTCTTGGCATTGAGGCCATGAATCAGCTGGCTGTAAGATAGTGAGATTACCTGGGATTATGTGGGTGGACCCACATAATCACACGAGTTCTTAAAAGCAGCAGCAGCAGGCGGAGAAGCCAGCTGGGGAGATCTGGTAGAAGGATGCCTCAGAGAGACAGGCAGTAGAGAAATCCGGAAGATTCGAGGTATGAGGAGGACTTGACCCACCGCTTCTGGCTTCGAAAGCGGCCGTTGTGAGCCAGGGCCCACGGGCAGTCTCTGGGAGCTCCCAGTCGACAGCCATCAGGGAGATGAGGCCCTCAGTGCTGCAGCCTCGTGGAACTGAGTTTTGCCAACACCTTGAATCACCCTCTGATGGCAGGAATGCAGCCCTCCCTGCTGATACCCTGATTTCAGCCTGTGAGGGCAGAGCAGAGAACCAGCTGAGCCACGCAGTGCCTGGCTTCTGACCTGCAGACCCAGTAGATGATAAATGGATATTTTTGTAGCCTCTAAGCCTGTTAGGGCATCAGTAGAAAACCACAGGGCTTGGCACAAGGTCTGGCCCACAGTAAGTGCTCCCCAAATAGTAGCTGCTATTATTATTATTATTATTACTTTTCCCTTTTTGCACATGCGAGTAAACATTTGTGAAATGTAACTACGGATTACATAATTTGAGTACTACGGAGAAACCAAAACTTAGTAAAAATGGTATGTTGGTAAGTAAATTACTTGCTTTGCCTCTGGGCTTTGACACCAAAACTATTCGAGGCCACTTCTTCTGGAAGTAGACTCTGTGTGGAGAACACACACGTGAACTCACGACGTGGGCTCACGAGAAGGGTTGACATTTTCTGTCCTTTGCTGGCAGTGGGAGTGGCACCAGTGTGGCAGAACAGAAGACGTTTCTCCACCTCCGTAGTCCAAGCCCGTGTTTCACTTTCTCCAGCTTTAGTGTGAGTCTTCCATGCCCGTGACAGTCTGCCCACCCCTGCCCCGATCACCCCATCTCACTGCTTCTACCCCCACAGTGCCCACCTGAATCCAAGCCCCTTATGGGAAGATGGGCACTGTTCAATCCTGCGTGTGGGTGCGGTTGTGTGTTTCAGAGGGAATAATCCTTCCCCGCCTTAAATCAGATACAGCATGAATTTAACCGGATGAACTTAGTTTGATTTGCCTCCTTTCCTCGGTGTTGCATTCACACAAAGGAGGGCATAAATTAGGGGACCCTTGAGTGCCCCATCATTGCCTCGTGCTTCTAGTCCCTGCTATAGTTCACTTAGACTTCTCTTTAGATTTTCCTCAGATTGAATTTCACAGCCTGTACTCACCTGAAGTGGTGTTACCATTGGTGTAGTATGTATGCAGATGTTGGTTTTTTTTTTTTAATTTATTTATTTATTTTGAGAGAGACAGAGATAGCACTAGTGAGAGAGGGGCAGAAAGTGAGGGAGAGAATCCCAAGCTGGCAACGCAGAGCCTGATTGGGGGCTTGAACTCAGGAAACCAAGAGAGATCATGAAATCATGACCTGAGCCAAAACCAAGAGTTGGATGCTTAACTGACTGAGCCACCCAGGTGCCCCAATGTACGCTGTTCCTTTAGCAGTGATGAACGAGTTAATATGTCCTGTTGATGTCATAAATTATTCTCCTCCTTTGCACGGTAGAGTGTATTACAAAGTATGTACACCCAGCATTTAATACGTAACTATTTTTTCATACCTTTTTCCTAATAAAAGAAATTCCAGTTGATCTGAAATTTACACCATAGCAGTAACGCTCTTCAGCTTCCAAAAGTATTACATGGGATTTGTTTTGGTTTGTTTCTCTGGAGCTGGCAAAATTTTGGACTATAATGGGTGTCACACAGGGGTGTCACTTAATTTGGCAGTGTCCTAGCGGAGCTTCATTAGTTTCCCTTCGGCACAGCTTTCCTCCTCTTGTTATTTTCAAAGTATAACCATTATGTTTCAGAAGCCGGGGCATTAGCCATGTAACTGTTGTGGGAAAGTAACTGTCATCTGGACTCAGATTGTGGTGGTGGAATTGGGAAGGAAGAAAGTGATTGCTACACACGCGGGGTGTGCACGTCAGGGCTGGGAATGGGGTACCGCGGAATCTGGGGACCGCTATGTGGTCATTAACCGTAAACTGACTTAGACCAGAGGTGCTGTTGTCACAGGGGTTATGTTAGAGGCCTCTGCATTGTCTGGGCTGCACTGTAGAGAAGAGATAGAGCTTCTTTGGAAGGAATTGTAATACTCACTGAAATAACTTGATCTGGTTTTATATTGCTTTAAAAGAACTCTGGATTTTACCAGATGTTACCATTTAAGTTGCAGAAGGTGAATCTGTATTGAGCTCTGGAAGGAGCAAAGTTAATTCTTCTTCCAGCCATCTATTTAGGACATGGGGAAGTTTCGGAGAAGCGAGAGTTGGTGGGTAGCAGGTTGTGTTTGGGTTTTGCGAGGGAGATGCCAGGCCATGGAGATGGTGAAAATGAGGTGCAGCGTTGGGACAGCCCCCTTGTTCCAGCCTGGAGGCCTGCTGGGCGGATGTTGGCCACGGGTGGGCTCAGTGAGAAGGGAGGATGTCTAGAGAAAGAACGTTGTGACCGTTCAGGCAAGGATTAAAGACACATAGGAAACCGAGCACTGACCCCCGGAGGGTTTTCAGAATGGAGCAGACACTGCTGAAGGAGGATGGAGGTATAGACGGTCCCCGATTTAATGATGGTCGACTTAATGATTTTCCATCTCTACGATGGTGTGGTCAACAGTACACATCCAGTGGAAACCATGCTTCAGAGTTTTAATCTGGATCTTTTCCCAGGCTGAGGACATGCAGTCCTGTCCTCTTGTGATGCCGGGCAGTGGCAGTGGCCACAGCTCCTAGTCAGCCACTGATAACGAGAGTCAGCAACTGGTACACTGACAACCACTCTCTGCTTTTGCTTTCAGTACGGTATTTGACAAGGTACAGGAAATA